ACGTTCAGATCATTGCTGGTCTTTCCGTGGAGGATTTTCCACATATGGAGAATGATGAATCGCTCCCCGCCTTCGTTGAAGAGACATCAGAGATAGATAGACCAGGCGATCCCAGTAGTGGAGATCGCGCATTCCTGATATTCTGGCGGTGAATGCTTTCTGTACACTCTCCAGTTCTTGGATATCGCTGATTTTTGAGGGATGCCATAATGGACAGCAATAATCAAGCAGGTTCAGATTTCTTTCAACTTCAAGACCTTTATAAAAACCCATTCCAAATCAGTTTTTTGGCAACGACCTTGACAAATACGAGTCTCCTAGCTTATAATATATTACACTTATATTAGAGTTAAATGAACATTTCAAAACAATTATAAAAACTATTTACGACTAAATATTCCCTGGCGACGACCACGGTCGTGATAGTCGTTTTCCGAAAAAATGTTTAATGATTTAAGTTGTGAGAAATTCAGGAAGCATCCCTGATCAAACTTAAATGTTTCTTCAACTCCGGTTGTTGTCCAATATCTGAGGTCTGCAGTGTCATCACTGTTGGCCTATCACATTCTTTTTAACTCGCTTCGGAAACAAAGTTCCTTATTTGCTGACAAAGACAGATTCTTATGAGAGGATTCAATGCAGACAGAAAAATTGACATCCCAAATGCACCGAGCACGGTTATAAAGGAGCTTGGAACCTATGATATAAGTAGGTCACCCGAATGGCGATCATAAACAGCATTTCCGATATTCATGATGAGAACAGCCTGAGAACTCTTGCGGAGTGTCACAGTTGATTCCTCGTTGCTGGTTCGCCCTTTCTTCTTCATCAGACAGTTAACTGTGAGTAGAGAACTCAGTACTCCTGCTGCTCCCAACGTGCAATTTATTACAATGAGGATGGTGAATATAATAAGATAAGCGTTTCCTGGTTCACCTATAACAGCTGTACTCTGTAAATCTAAGAAGAAGTAAGAAGTGCTTTTTCCCGGTATTCCAACGGTCACTGAATAGTATATCAGCATGACACCTACGATAGAGACAGCAATGATCATCATGACAACTTTACCAGACAGCTTGTAGAAGGGAAATTTAACATTGATGAACCTGCATATGGAGATGAACGTCGTAAGGATCAGCGAGGAGAACACTATGAACCTGCATATTACCGTTTCTACTTGCTCTGCCACGGGTGCTAGCACGAACAAGTGGGTACACTTCTGGGAACAGAAAGCGGTATCCAATCTGTAGTGGTCGGTAGATGTTGGTCAGGAAGTCTGAGATGGCCAACAGCATGAAGAGAATCTTGGTAGTTTTGAGCCTTCCATCTTGGTGATAGTTGAAGAGGAAGGTAAGGGGGTTCAGTACTGTAGAAATCAAGAATGCAAGGATCATTGTGATACCAAGAAAATAGTCACCAGCACAGTCAGCATCTGATGGTTCATCACCAAAGTTCATGAAATTCGGTATAAGTCCTACCAGTTCTGTTATATTGAGGTATCCATCAATAATCGATATGTTAGCTTTCCTCAGGATCATAATATAGTTCCCAATCAGCGTGGCTTTCTCCAAACGAGTTTTTCTTAGAACGTACTTTCTATAGCTGGAAGAAATACATTGGTGGTAACGGCTCATACAAATTTTATTACCAACTCGGTGCCATAACGACACCGGACACAGTAATTATGGCTGTTCTTAGTCATCACGAGCAAGATCATTACTTTCCTGCGATAATCTGTCGTTTAACAACTACACCTGCCTCGTTTATAGTATAGTCATTGCTGCTTTTTATTTACTTATCAATTTCTTATATTATAATTTATAAGAGGTTATTATAAGTTGTGAAGGGTTAGGAGGACTAAATTATGTTAGATGTGACCATTTTTGTCTTATTATTTTGGGTCATCGATCAGCAAGTCGAATACCAGTACCACCTGCTTGCCAGGGTCTCAGTCAAGATGACTCAGTGGTAGATTCAGCTGTGAGCAGCTCTTGCATTCAAATTTTCAGTTTATTCAATAATCATTAATCATGAAACATCGTCGAACCAAGAAATGAACAATATCAAGAAAAAAACAATATCTTTTCTCAGTAGCATTAAAGAGTCTAGATTAAAATTCATCTCATTCTGTCCAAAAATGGTCCCTGACAATAATAGTTGTGATGGTCTTCATGTTCAATGGCGCCGGTTTTAAACAAAAATTCTCGCCAAATCAAGCAGGTTCAGATTTCTTTCAACTTCAAGACCTTTATAAAAACCCATTCCAAATCAGTTTTTGGCAACGACCTTGACAAAATACGAGTCTCCTAGCTTATAATATATTACACTTATATTACAGTTGTATGAACATTTCAAAACAACTATTAAAACTATTTACGACTAAATATTTCCTGGCGACGACCACGGTCGTGATAGTCGTTTTCCGAAAAAAATGTTTAATGATTTAAGTTGTGAGAAATTCAGGAAGCATCCCTGATCAAACTTAAATGTTTCTTCAACTCCGGTTGTTGTCCAATATCTGAGGTCTGCAGTGTCATCACTGTTGGCCTATCACATCTTTTAACTCGCTTCGAAACAAAGTTCCTTATTTGCTGACAAAGACAGATTCTTATGAGAGGATTCAATGCAGACAGAAAAATAGACATCCCAAATGCACCGAGTACGGTTATAAAAGGAGCTTGGAACCTATAATATAAGTAGGTCACCCGAATGGCGATCATAACAGCATTTCCGATATTCATGATGAGAACAGCCTGAGAGCTCTTGCGGAGTGTCACAGTTGATTCCTCGTTGCTGGTTCGCCCTTTCTTCTTCATCAGACAGTTAACTGTGAGTAGAGAACTTAGTACTCCTGCTGCTCCCAACGTGCAACTTATAACAATGAGGATGGTGAATATAAGAACAGCGTCTCCTGGTTTACCTTTAAAAGCTGTACCCTGCAATTGTAAGAAATAGTAACTCAAGTAAGAAGTGCTTTTTCCCGGTATTCCAACGGTCACTAAATAATATATCAGCATGACACCTACGATAGAGACAGTAATGATCATCATGACAACTTTACCAGACAGCTTATAGAAGGGAAATTTAACATTGATGAACCTGCAAATGGAGATGAAACGTCGTAAGGATTAGCGAGGAGAACACAATGACCCTGAATATCACAGTTTCTACTTGCTCTGCCACAGTGCTAGCACGAAAAAGTGGGTACACTTCTGGGGACAGAAAGTGGTATCCGATCTGTAGTGGTCGGTAGATGTTGGTCAGGAAGTCTGAAATGGCCAACAGCATGAAGAGAACTCTGGTAGTTTTGAGCCTTCCATCTTGGTGATAGTTGTAGAGGAAGGTAAGGGGGTTCAGTACTGTAGAAATCAAGAATGCGAGGATCATTGTGATACCAAGAAGATAGTCTCCAGCAGAGTCAGCATCTGATGGTTCATTGCCAAAGTCCCGGAAGTTTGGCATAATTACTTCGAATTCTGTAACATTGAAGTCTCCATCAATGATCGATATGTTAGCTTTTCTCAGGATCATAATGTAGTTACCAATATGCGTGACAGTCTAAAAATTATATTTTGCCTACAGAACAACTTTTTTAGCTGCAATAAACTGAAATAGAGTCACATCAGCTTTCAAAGTTTTTTGATTCGCTACCGAATCAAAAATAGGGATTAAGAGTGTTTTTACCGATTACAATCATCATTATTACTTTTAAAACCAAAGCCAGTCGTTGACATAAAACAGCTGGTACACTATTTTCCCTATTTTAAGTTATAAACGGTTAAATAGTGAAGGAGGACTAATGTTGCATTATAAAATTAAAGATTTTACCGTCTTTTAAAAATCTATTTAGGGTCATCCATCAAATGTCACCTGGTTGCAGGTAGCTTCGAAAAAGTGATAATTATGAAACTCGTTAGTTGCTACACATGACCAAAGTTTTAACCACCATCCGCTACCGAATCAAAAATAGGGCCAGGGACTAAGAATTTTTTTACCGATTACAATCATCATTATTACTTTCAGAACCAAGACCAGTCGTTGACATAAAACAGCTGGCACACTCCTTGATAACTGGTTTTTAAAACTTAAATTAGTAGTTATATAAAGTAAAATAGTGAAGGAGGAGGACTAATGTTACATGATTAGATAGTTAGATGTGACCGTCTTTTTAAAATCTATTTTGGGTTATCTATCCCCAATACCACCTGGTTGCAGGTAGCTTCGAAAAGTGATAATTATGAAATTCGCTAGTTGCTACAACATGACCAAGGTAATCGATCGACAAAACACCGCAATTTTTTAAAGCGGAATCAATAATTTTATGAGATTGTAACCCAGAATTAAAATGAATAACCCCTTTCTCGAGGGTTAAACAGTAAGTTACTTTATCTGTGTCCTTTTATATAGAATGTCATTTAAACGTTGAGAGCAATTCAGGCAGCTAATTATTAATTAGCTAATTATATCGGTTAATGGTTGTCGTGTTTTGAAAAAGAATATGATTTACCTGTACCTCCCTTCCAATGTCTAGATCTGTAATAGTTACAACGTTCATACTTTACAATTGATTTACATTTCATTCGAAGAGGGCCTATAGTTGAGTTTTGAAGAAATGAACAAAGTCCGGAAGTCAGGTTCGGATGTTGACTTTGGATAATTGGTAATCTGAAAATACAGTTCCTGTAAAGTACTGTATCTGGAAATAATTAATTCAAAAATGCACTTATAAAATCATTATGTAAAATAACCAAGTAGAATAACCCGTAAACGATCAAAATTGAATTCCTATGATTTAATTTTTGGATAATTTTGAATACGCATGTAAGGTGTCCGGAATTCAACAATTCACTCTGATCTGTGTACTTCGTTATGTAAAACAAATTGAAACACACATAACTTTCTTATTTTCAATGCAAGTTTTTGCGGATTTTCCATTAAATTTCTCAAAAATATGCCATTTTAAACCCTGTATGCCATTTTAAACCCTGTCACGTTGAAAATCATGCTGAAGTTTAAATTTTTCAAAATTACAAATATTTGCCCGAGAAACAATGGATGTTCAACGCTTTAATGTCAAGAAACTATTCATGTCCGTTGCCTAAAGATAAAAAGTTCCGAAACATTATTCCCCTCTGGATGTACTGTCCCTCTAGTGGTGATTTCTGAGATGCCGGATGAGAGGGTCGTCTATTTTGTGGCCCAGAAATTCTTGGAGAACGTCGAATTGGTCCTCCATCTTCTTCAGAATCTCATCGTCCACAACCTGGAATACGAAAAGTAACGAAATTATGTCATTGGTAATTAAACTTCACCTGTAATTTATAACGCAGTTTTATGTTTAAATGTTTTATCAAGTTGTTAAGTAGTACCTATACTGGCAGCTGAAAATTATCCATCGAATTATAAATTTCAGTTCATGAGTTATCGTTGAGCTTCTTAGTATGGCACAATTTTACCATTTCTAACCTTATTGTAAAAGTCTGTGAAGTAGAGCACATTCCAGTGATCTCCGGGGCATGTAATCGGCACTTCAGTGATCGTTCCGTGCCTCTCAGTAGCATAAAGGATGGTCTCCCACCGCAGGAAAGCATCTGCTATAAGAGAATCCTCAAAGTCAGAGCACATCCCCGAGGAGAACATCTCTCCTACTTCCCCAGCTTCCAGTTGCCTTTTGTAGACATTCAGCTTTAGGAGTTCACCTCCAAATGGATGGTTGTTGAATGAAGCCTCCATTGTTGCTGTCTTGTGGTACTGTCCTATAGCGATTGTTCCTCCCACAGTCAGTTTTACGTCACCAGATTCTTCCTGTGCTATTGCCTCACCATCAAAATATAGTACCCTGGTCTTAGTTTCATGCCCATATGTAATGCAGACGTGGTGCCATTCGTCTGAAGGGACGGCCTGGCTGTTCTGTATATGATCCTGGTTCATGTAAGCCCAGCCGCTTATCTTGCCTGCAATTATGATCTCATGAATCCTGGAAGGTGCATTGTACGTGAACCAGGCATCATGAACACTATCAGCTGTTTTCTTGTTGATCCATGAACATATCGAAATGGCTTCCTTTACCGGTTCCATGTCCAGTTGCAGCATCATGTAGCTCTGGAGATCGTTGCCAAAGCTCAGAGCAGTGGCGGGACCGTGAGCCAAGGACTGCTCCACGGAGTAGGCCAGGATCAGGAGTGTTAGATAAAACAGAAACATTCGGGCAAAGTCGAGAAAAAATAATGTCGAGAATGAGATGGTCCTCTATTTTTGTATGGTTGTGGGGAGTTGGCTTGCCTCATTGGATGGGGACCTTTCGTGGCGGACTTTTTGTTAGTTATTGTCATGACAGCTTTATGATTGAACCTCGTTAGCTTCTAGGATAACTTGAATATAACAGCTGGTCAACAAATTATCTAAGTTTGCCATTTATCCTTAATCCTATGCGGGCAGCAAAAATTAAGTTCATCTTCTATTAATTCAGCGGTAACTTATATAAATTTATAAAAAATATCGTTGTAAAAGACGCTCTGTTCCTCAGCTAAGAATTAAGATTGGAAACGTGTCTTGTTCACTTTTCACAAAACGTGATAATGCCATGTGACATGTTCCTTTGTCCTATCCTCATCGGATCTAGTCTCAATACTCATAATAATTATTTCTGATTTAACTTATCTATAATCTAGTATCTACTGGTATAGGCAGATGGTTTGAAGAGCATCATCACAAGTCTGTGCTCCACTATTATACAGTAATTTATATAACATTATTTATTATAATATTTATAATAATTTATAATAATTTATTTCGTATATTATTTAGTATGTATTTTTTATACAATTATTTTCCCTGATGCAGATCAAAATTCTTTATCTGAAAATAAATGCGAAAAAATGGCGAAATTCATGACCGCAGACCGTTGCTACGTTGTGCTGAAGTCGCACTTTCATAAGTTCCCCTATCAATGTTCTTATTATAATTGCATCTTACAGTGTTTTCTTTTAAAAAGCGCAGGTTGATCTACATCCTTCCTATCATAGAATTATTAGAGAAAAACAAGGCTCCTTGACAAAATCGAAATTGTTTACTACTAAAAGAGACTGCAGTTTCATTGTTTTATGTCATTTCTGCTGGATGATTTTCTTTTTAACTCGCTTCAAAATGAAGTTTTTTATTCCCTGACTGAGACAAATCCTTATGAGAGGATTTAATGCAGACAGAATAACTGCCATCCCAAATGCACCGAGCACGTTAATCAAAGGAGCGTGGGACCCATAATATGAGTACGCCACCTGAATGGCAATCATAACAGCATTTCCGATATTCATGATGAGAACAGCCTGAGAACTCTTGCGGAGTGTCACAATTGATTCCTCGTTGCTGGTTCGCCCTTTCTTGTTCATCAGACAGTTAACTGTGAGTAGAGAACTCAATACCCCTGCTACTCCAAGCATGCAAACTAATACATTGTGAATGATGAACGATGGATAGTCGTTTATCGGTCCTTCTGCAGCGGATGTCATCTGGCAAAGTAAGTAGAAATAAGAACTGTTTTTCCTCGGTATTCCCACGATCACGAAATAGTATATCAGCATGCAACATAGGATAGAGACAGTAATGACCATCATGACAACTTTACCAGACAACTTATAGAATGGAAATTTAACATTGATGAACCTGCAAATGGAGATGAACGTCGTAAGGATCAGCGAGGAGAACATGAAAAGTTTAAATATGAGAGCCTCTACTTGATCTGCTACGGTGCTAGCACGAACAAGTGGGTACACTTCTGGGGACAGAAAGCGGTATCCAATCTGTAGTGGTCGGTAGATGTTGGTCAGGAAGTCTGAGATGGCCAACAGCATGAAGAGAACTCTGGTAGTTTTAAGCCTTCCATCTTGGTGATAGTTGAAGAGGAAGGTAAGGGGGTTCAGTACTGTAGAAATCAAGAATGCGAGGATCATTGTGATACCAAGAAAATAGTCACCAGCACAGTCAGCATCTGATGGTTCATCACCAAAGTCCATGAAGTTCGGTATAAGTCCTACCAGTTCTGTTATATTGAGGTCTCCGTCAATAATCGATATGTTAGCTTTCCTCAGGATCATAATGTAGTTCCCAATCAGCGTGGCTTTCTCCAAACGAGTTTTTCTTAGAACGTACTTTCTTAATTCTTTAGCTGGAAGAAATACATTGGTGGTAACGGCTCATACAAATTTTATTACCAACCGCTGCCATAACGAGACAGTAATTATGGCTGTTCTTAGTCATCACGAGCAACATCATTACTTTCCGGGCTATAATCTGTCGTTTAACAACTACACCTGCCTTCGTTTATAGTATAGTCATTGCTGCTTTTTATTTACTTATCATTTGCTTATATTATAATTTATAAGAGGTTATTATAAGTTGTGAAGGGTTAGGTAGTGGAGGACTAAATTATGTTAGATGTGACCATATTTTGTCTTATTATTTTGGGTCATCGATCAGCAAGTCGAATACCAGTACCACCTGCTTGCCAGGGTCTCAGTCAAGATGACTCAGTGGTAGATTCAGCTGTGAGCAGCTCTTGCATTCAAATTTTCAGTTAATCAATAATCATTAATCATGAAACATCGTCGAACCAAGAAATGAACAATATCAAGAAAAAATAATATATTTTCTCAGCAGCAATAAAGAGTCTAGATTAAAATTCATATCATTCTGTCCAAAATGGTCCCTGACAATAATAGTTGTGATGGTCTTCAAGTTCAATGGCGCCGGTTTTAAACAAAAATTGTCGCCAAATCAAGCAGGTTAGATTTCTTTCAACTTCAAGACCTTTATAAAAACCCATTCCAAATCAGTTTTTGGCAACGACCTTGACAAATACGAGTCTCCTAGCTTATAATATATTACACTTATATTAGAGTTAAATGAACATTTCAAAACAACTATAAAAACTATTTACGACTAAATATTCCCTGGCGACGACCACGGTCGTAATAGTCGTTTTCCGAAAAAATGTTTAATGATTTAAGTTGTGAGAAATTCAGGAAGCATCCCTGATCAAACTTAAATGTTTCTTCAACTCCGGTTGTTGTCCAATATCTGAGGTCTGCAGTGTCATCACTGTTGGCCTATCACATTCTTTTTAACTCGCTTCGAAACAAAGTTCCTTATTTGCTGACAAAGACAGATTCTTATGAGAGGATTCAATGCAGACAGAAAAATTGACATCCCAAATGCACCGAGCACGGTTATAAAAGGAGCTTGGAACCTATGATATAAGTAGGTCACCCGAATGGCGATCATAACAGCATTTCCGATATTCATGATGAGAACAGCCTGAGAGCTCTTGCGGAGTGTCACAGTTGATTCCTCGTTGCTGGTTCGCCCTTTCTTCTTCATCAGACAGTTAACCGTGAGTAGAGAACTCAGTACTCCTGCTGCTCCCAACGTGCAATTTATTACAATGAGGATGGTGAATATTATAAGATAAGCGTCTCCTGGTTTACCTATAACAGCTGTACTCTGTAAATGTAAGAAGAAGTAAGAAGTGCTTTTTCCCGGTATTCCAACGGTCACTGAATAGTATATCAGCATGACACCTACGATAGAGACAGCAATGATCATCATGACAACTTTACCAGACAGCTTGTAGAAGGGAAATTTAACATTGATGAACCTGCATATGGAGATGAACGTCGTAAGGATCAGCGAGGAGAACACTATGAACCTGAATATTACCGTTTCTACTTGCTCTGCCACGGTGCTAGCACGAACAAGTGGGTACACTTCTGGGAACAGAAAGCGGTATCCAATCTGTAGTGGTCGGTAGATGTTGGTCAGGAAGTCTGAGATGGCCAACAGCATGAAGAGAACTCTGGTAGTTTTGAGCCTTCCATCTTGGTGATAGTTGAAAAGGAAGGTAAGGGGGTTCAGTACTGTAGAAATCAAGAATGCGAGGATCATTGTGATACCAAGAAGATAGTCACCAGCAGAGTCAGCATCTGATGGTTCATCACCAAAGTTCATGAAGTTCGGTATAAGTCCTACCAGTTCTGTTATATTGAGGTCTCCGTCAATAATCGATATGTTAGCTTTCCTCAGGATCATAATATAGTTCCCAATCAGCGTGGCTTTCTCCAAACGAGTTTTTCTTAGAACGTACTTTCTTTAGCTGGAAGAAATACATTGGTGGTAACGGCTCATACAAATTTTATTACCAACCGGTGCCATAACGACACCGGACACAGTAATTATGGCTGTTCTTAGTCATCACGAGCAAGATCATTACTTTCCTGGCTATAATCTGTCGTTTAACAACTACACCTGCCCTCGTTTATAGTATAGTCATTGCTGCTTTTTATTTACTTATCAATTTCTTATATTATAATTTATAAGAGGTTATTATAAGTTGTGAAGGGTTAGGTAGTGGAGGACTAAATTATGTTAGATGCGACCATATTTTGTCTTATTATTTTGGGTCATCGATCAGCAAGTCGAATACCAGTACCACCTGCTTGCCAGGGTCTCAGTCAAGAAGTCTCAGTGGTAGATTCAGCTGTGAGCAGCTCTTGCATTCAAATTTTCAGATAATCATTAATCATGAAACATCGTCGAACCAAGAAATGAACAATATCAAGAAAAAACAATATCTTTTCTCAGTAGCATTAAAGAGTCTAGATTAAAATTCATATCATTCTGTCCAAAATGGTCCCTGACAATAATAGTTGTGATGGTCTTCAAGTTCAATGGCGCCGGTTTTAAACAAAAATTCTCGCCAAATCAAGCAGGTTCAGATTTCTTTCAACTTCAAGACCTTTATAAAAACCCATTCCAAATCAGTTTTTGGCAACGACCTTGACTCCTAGCTTATAATATATTACACTTATATTACAGTTAAATGAACATTTCAAAACAACTATACAAACTATTTACGACTAAATATTCCCTGGCGACGACCACGGTCGTGATAGTCGTTTTCCGAAAAAATGTTTAATGATTTAAGTTGTGAGAAATTCAGGAAGCATCCCTGATCAAACTTAAATGTTTCTTCAACTCCGGTTGTTGTCCAATATCTGAGGTCTGCAGTGTCATCACTGTTGGCCTATCACATTCTTTTTAACTCGCTTCGAAACAAAGTTCCTTATTTGCTGACAAAGACAGATTCTTATGAGAGGATTCAATGCAGACAGAAAAATAGACATCCCAAATGCACCGAGTACGGTTATAAAAGGAGCTTGGAACCTATAATATGAGTAGGTCACCCGAATGGCGATCATAACAGCATTTCCGATATTCATGATGAGAACAGCCTGAGAGCTCTTGCGGAGTGTCACAGTTGATTCCTCGTTGCTGGTTCGCCCTTTCTTCTTCATCAGACAGTTAACCGTGAGTAGAGAACTTAGTACTCCTGCTGCTCCCAACGTGCAACTTATTACAATGAGGATGGTGAATATAAGATAAGCCTCTCCTGGTTTACCTGTAACAGCTGTACACTGTAAATGTAAGTAGAAGTAAGAAGTGCTTTTTCCCGGTATTCCAATGGTCACTAAATAGTATATCAGCATGACACCTACGATAGAGACAGTAATGATCATCATGACAACTTTACCAGACAGCTTGTAGAAGGGAAATTTAACATTGATGAATCTGCAAATGGAGATGAACGTCGTAAGGATTAGCGAGGAGAACACTATGAACTTGAATATTACAGTTTCTATTTGCTCTGCCACGGTGCTAGTACGAAAAAGTGGGTACACTTCTGGGGACAGAAAGCGGTATCCAATCTGTAGTGGTCGGTAGATGTTGGTCAGGAAGTCTGAGATGGCCAACATCATGAAGAGAACTCTGGTAGTTTGGAGCCTTCCATCTTGGTGATAGTTGAAGAGGAAGGTAAGGGGGTTTAGTACCGTAGAAATCAAGAATGCAAGGATCATTGTGATACCAAGAAAGTAATCACCGGCGAAGTCAGCATCTGATGGTTCATTGCCAAAGTCCCGGAAGTTTGGTATAAGTCCTTCCAGTCTTTCCACTCCTTTTTCATCAAATGATATGTTAGCTTTCCTCAGGATCATAATGTAGTTCCCAATATGCGGGATGGTCTAAAAAGTATATTTTGCTTACAGAACAACTTTTTTGCTGGAATGAACTAAAATAGAGTCACATCGGCTTTCAAAGTTTTAATCACCAACTGCTACCAAATCAAAAATAGGGACTAAGAGTGTTTTTACCGATTACAATCATTATTACATTTAAAACCAGTCGTTGACATAAAACAGCTGGCACACTCCTTAATTACTTGTTTTTAAAACTTATGTTAGCAGTATATAAAGTTAAATAGTGAAGGAGGAGGACTAATGGTACATGATTAGATGTTACTGTCTTTTTTAATCTATTTTGGATTATCTATTGATCCCCAGTGTCACCTGGTTGCAGTTAGCTTCGAAAAGTGTAGTGATAATTATGAAACTCGCTAGTTGCTACAGCATGACCAAGATAATCGATCGAAAACAAACCGCAATTTTTTTACAGCGGAATCAATAATTTTATGAGATTGTAATTCAAAATTAAATTTATAACCCCTCTTTCTCGAGGGTTAAATACAGTAAGTTACTTTATCTGTGTCCTTTTATATAGAATGTCATTAAAACGTTGAGAGTAATTCAGGCAGCTAATTATTAATTAGCTAATTATATCGGTTAATGGTTGTCGTGTTTTGAAAAAGAATATGATTCACCTGTACTTCCCTTCCAATGTCTAGATCTGTAATAGTTACAACGTTCATACTTTACAATTGATTTACATTTCATTCGAAGAGGGCCTAGTTGAGTTTTGTAGATATGAACGAAGTCAGGTTCGGATGTTGACTTTGGGTAATTGGTAATCTGAAAATACAGTTCCTGTAAAGTACTGTATCTGGAATTAAATTCCAAAAATGCACTTATAAAATCATTATGTAAAATAACCAAGTAGAATAACCCGTAAACGATCAAAATTGAATTCCTATGATTTAATTTTTGGATAATTTTGAACACGCATATAAGGTGTCCGGAATTCAACAATTCACTCTTATCTGTGTACTTCGTTATGTAAAACAAATTGAAACACACATAACTTTCTTATTTTCAATGTAAGTTTTTGCGGATTTTCCATTAAATTTCTCAAAAATATGCCATTTTAAACCATGTGTTGAAAATCATGCTAAAATTTAAAGTTTTCAAAATTACAAATATTTGCCCGAGAAACAATGGATGTTCAACGCTTTAATGTCAAGAAACTATTCATGTTCGTTGCCTAAAGATAAAAAGTTCCTAAACATTATTCCCCTCTGGCTGTACTGTCCCTCTAGTGGTGATTTCTGAGATGCTGGATGAGAGTGTCGTCTATTTTGTGGCCCAGAAATTCTTGAAGAACGTCGAATTGGTCCTCCATTTTTTTCAGAATGTCATCGTCCACAACCTGGGATACGAAAAGTAACAATATACGAAATTAGGTCATTATACGAAATTAGGTCATTGGTAATTAAACTTCACCAGTAATTTATAACGCAGTTTTATGTTTAAATGTTTTATCATCGTCGCAAATGTCAAGAAGATTAGTCAATTAGAATACCGGCAGCTGAAAATTAACCATCGAATTATAAATTTCAGTTCATGAGTTATCGTTGAGCTTCTTAGTCTGGCACAATTTTACCATTTCTAACCTTATTGTAAAAGTCTGTGAAGTAGAGCACATTCCAGTGATCTCCGGGGCATGTAATCGGCACTTCAGTGATCGTTCCGTGCCTCTCAGCAGCATATAGGATGGTCTCCCACCGCAGGAAAGCATCTGCTATAAGAGAATCCTCAAAGTCAGAACACATCCCCGCGGAGAACATCACTTCTACTTCCCCAGCTTCCAGTTGCCTTTCGTAGACATTCAGCTTTAGGAGTTCACCTCCAAATTGATGGTTGTGGAATGAAGCCTCCATTGTTGCTGTCTTGTGGTACTGTCCTATAGCGATTGTTCCTCCCACAGCCAGTTTTACGTCACCAGATGCTTCCTGTGCTATTGCCTCACCATCAAAATATAGTACCCTGGTCTTAGTTTCATACCCCCATGTAATGCAGACGTGGTGCCATTCGTCTGAAGGGACGGCCTGGCTGTTCTGTATATGATCCTGGTTCATGTAAGCCCAGCCGCTTATCTTGCCTGCAATTATGATCTCATGAATCCTGGAAGGTGCATTGTACGTAAGACCAGGCATCATGAACACTATCAGCTGTTTTCTTGTTGATCCATGAACAGACCGAAATGGCTTCCTTTACCGGTTCCATGTCCAGTTGCAGCATCATGTAGCTCTGGAGATCGTTGCCAAAGCTCAGAGCAGTGGCGGGACCGTGAGCCGAGGACTGCTCCACGGAGTAGGCCAGGATCAGGAGTGTTAGATAAAACAGAAACATTCGGGCAAAGTCGAGAAAAAATAATGTCGAGAATGAGATGGTCCTCTATTTTTGTATGGTTGTGGGGAGTTGGCTTGCCTCATTGGATGGGGACCTTTCGTGGCGGACTTTTTGTTAGTTATTGTCATGACAGCTTTATGATTGAACCTCGTTAGCTTCTAGGATAACTTGAATATAACAGCTGGTCAACAAATTATCTAAGTTTGCCATTTATCCTTAATCCTATGCGGGCAGCAAAAATTAAGTTCATCTTCTATTAATTCAGCGGTAACTTATATAAATTTATAAAAAATATCGTTGTAAAAGACGCTCTGTTCCTCAGCTAAGAATTAAGATTGGAAACGTGTCTTGTTCACTTTTCACAAAACGTGATAATGCCATGTGACATGTTCCTTTGTCCTATCCTCATCGGATCTAGTCTCAATACTCATAATAATTATTTCTGATTTAACTTATCTAGTATCTACTGGTATAGGCAGATGGTTTGAAGAGCATCATCACAAGTCTGTGCTCCACTATTATACAGTAATTTATATAACATTATTTATTATAATATTTATAATAATTTATAATAATTTATTTCGTATATTATTTAGTATGTATTTTTTATACAATTATTTTCCCTGATGCAGATCAAAATTCTTTATCTGAAAATAAATGCGAAAAAATGGCGAAATTCATGACCGCAGACCGTTGCTACGTTGTGCTGAAGTCGCACTTTCATAAGTTCCCCTATCAATGTTCTTATTATAATTGCATCTTACAGTGTTTTCTTTAAAAAAGCGCAGGTTGATCTACATCCTTCCTATCATAGAATTATTAGAGAAAAACAAGGCTCCTTGACAAAATCGAAATTGTTTACTACTAAAAGAGACTGCAGTTTCATTGTTTTATGTCATTTCTGCTGGATGATTTTCTTTTTAACTCGCTTTAGAATAAAGTTTTTCATTTCCTGACTGAGACAGATCCTTATGAGAGGATTCAATGCAGACAGAATAACTGCCATCCCAAATGCACCGAGCACGTTAATCAAAGGAGCTTGGGACCCATAATATGAGTACGCCACCTGAATAGCAATCATGACAGCATTTCCGATATTCATGATGAGAACAGCCTGAGAACTCTTGCGGAGTGTAACAGTTGATTCCTCGTTGCTGGTCCCGCCCTTTCTTGTTCATCAGACAGTTAACTGTGAGTAGAGAACTCAATACCCCTGCTGCTCCCAAAATGCAAACTAATACATTTTGGAAAATAAACGGTTGATATATCTTCAATATTACATCCAGAGTAGACGTCGTCTGGCAAAGTAAGAAGAAGCGGGAAGTCTTGTGTTCCATCAGGTCAAACGTTATTGAGCTGTATATTAGGAAACCACTGAGGAGGGATAGGCAGCAGGCTATTATCGCGACTCTGCTAGACAGCTTGTAAAAGGGAAATTTAACATTGATGAACCTGCAAATGGAGATGAAAGTGGTGAGAACCTGTGAGGAGAACATGGTGTACCTGAATATTACAGTTTCTACTTGCTCTGCCACGGTGCTAGCACGAACAAGTGGGTACACTTCTGGGGACAGAAAGCGGTATCCAATCTGTAGTGGTAGGTAGATGTTGGTCAGGAAGTCTGAGATGGCCAACAGCATGAAGAGAACTCTGGTAGTTTTGAGCCTTCCATCTTGGTGATAGTTGAAGAGGAAGGTAAGGGGGTTCAGTACTGTAGAAATCAAGAATGCAAGGATCATTGTGATACCAAGAAGGTAATCACCGGCGGAGTCAGCATCTGATGGTTCGTTGCCAAGTTCCTTGAAGTTCGGAAAAAATTCTGAGATTCCTTCCTCTAAGTTTGATACATTAGCTCTTCTCAAAATCATAATTCACAATCGTTTTTGCTTCGCTATCACTAAAACGTCTTGATCTCACCGAAAACAACAACAAAAAGAACTGAAACGAATATTACCCTCTTAAGGTTTATTTATCAATAATTGCTGTTAATTAGGGCTCTACCAAACCATAACAAGGGTAATTAACTCTCACAAACCAGACGTCATGATATTAAATATATTCACGTGCGCTAGCACGTGTGCTAAGTTTTACTGTAATAGACGTCCTGGAATCTGGATAGACTCACCTGCTCTCATTTAGATTTTAGAGGCCGCTTCTGATAGGAACATGGACGAATGTTAAATGAGACTTGTGGCTCGGCACGAATAAGTAATTTAGCTGCACGTGTAGGTAGTCCGTACTTATGATTGATAGGCTATTTTAATTCCACGCTGGGGTAATAACGAGGACTGGTGAGTGGTGAGTTGTGATAACTGATAACACTAGATAATCATAATTTGTAGAACTATTGAACTGGATTCTTACACCGGTCTAGTGGACTCAAAAATAAAAACATAACAAAATTAAAACATTTATCAATTACTATAAGAATGTATTAACTCAAATTTCCGTGTCAGAGTTGCTGGAAGGAAAGAAAGGTAACAACAGTACGAAGAGCAAACTTCTCAGAGATCAAGATTTCTTGTCTCTTGTTGATAAGATCCAGCGATGGAGAAACAGCGGCAAAGCTGTCGAGCTTAACAATGTCCCGTAAGTTTGACCAGTATGTTTCCTCCTCCCCCCCCCCCCCCCCCCCCCCCCCCCCCCCCCCCCCCCCCCCCTTTTTTTTGAGTTTTCCCCGAAATTAATGCTAACATATGCAAAGTAACCAAATTTAATTATAAAGTTCCGACTTTCGATTCAAGATTACGTCGAAACTCCTTGATAATGATTTGATCCGGTGTTAAATGCTATGATCATTTTGTTTGCTGTTCAAAACATGCCTCATGCATGACAGTACCCTGGTATAATATTAATAATAAGGCGTTTATCTCAGGTTCGTGGACCACCCGAAGCTCCCTAAACTACTAGACATCCTAACAAAACATTTCTCTAATTGTGACGAACATACTCGGGCCATGGTGTTCTCCTCCTTTCGAGACAGGTTTCTCACAAATACTTGATACTTGACAGTCTAGCTAAGCTGATTCTGTTAGACTTGTTATCTTTGAATATCAGATTTTTTGGATCTCCAAGGCAAGGTGACCTTGGTTGTTGTATTAAATAAATCATTACTAAAAATATGCCTCTTGATTTTACCTTTAAACAAACAACTTTCTTCAGTGTTCATGACCTAGTGAAGAGGATAAACTCCCACTCCGACAAGATCCGGAGCACCATGTTCATAGGTCAGAGTGGAGCAAATGGTCTAAAACAGAAACAACAACTTGAGACTGTGTCTGAGTTTAAGAAGGGCACGTTTAATGTCCTGGTAGCTACCTGCGTGGGTGAAGAAGGACTGGATATTGGTGAGTAGAGGAACAGTCGCAGGCTCCCACTCTCTTTACTGCACAATAACTAGTGAAAATGGCGAAAGTTTAATACTTTAAACATTACTATATAATAACAAACAAGAAGCTCTCGTGATGTGGTTTTCAGTTCAAGCCTCCAAATGCAACATATCGTTAAGGTTTTATGTTACGTTTCAGCTGATGTTGAATGTTTCAGGAATGGTGGATCTGATTATTTGTTATGATGCAAGTGCGTCACCCACTCGGTTGGTGCAGCGCATGGGAAGAGCCGCGCGCAAACGTGATGGTTCCATCGTGGTTCTGCTGACAGAGGGGAAAGAAGAGAACGTATGTTCGATTTTTCAATCCATTTGACATGTTTTCACCTGAAGGCTTAAATCTACTCTGGTGATTTTTGTTTTTAAAAGATTGTGAATTTGAGATATTTATCGGTATCATCAACTTACCTTGTCTCTGTGACAGATATTCAAGAAGAGTGTATCGAGTAAGAAGAGCGTATCAAAAGCAGTGTTTACGAAGTTGAACAAGTTGGCCCTGTACCCCAACAACCCAAGAATGATTCCCCGTCATCTCAACCCTACACCTGATAAACGCGTGTTGAAGCCGCTGGAATTCAAGACTCCACCACCAAAAACTAGGCAGAAAAGTTTGGTACAGAAAAAGAAGTGCCCCTTTCTGTCCAGTACGCAATACAACAGCTATGTAGGATCCGAGGGGGATAAAGTTGATCTTGACAAATCAGCGTGAGTTCTTTACAATCGGATATCGACGAAATAAACAACCATCCCTTTTGCTTTAGTTGTTCTTTTTTCTTTTTTTAATTGTTGTCATACTCACGATTTACACTGTCTCAAGATTTGATGTTCCCGCCTTGGGCTATCGATGTCACAACGTATGGCGCGGTACCCTCACGTCTTTTTATAATGTAAACAAATCAACAGTAGGTTGAACAAACGCGCATTATAGCTGGCGCGGCCGCGCATTATTTTAAATTGTGCATGCACCATGTGCCCCAAAGATGTACTACTCTGGTTTATTGATCTAGACCTATCACACATACAGATATGACAACCGTATATTTCAGGACATTCTCGTTAACGGAATGCGTTTCAAAGTGGATACACTGGCAGGGCATAGAGCACCCAACTTTTGATATCGAGCACTCTATGAGCACGCTTACTTTCGTCCATATTATGACCGTTAGTTTAATTTGTTTTTCTCCATTTTAGTAACAATTTTGTATCATGACTTAGACACTCCCTGTTACATTTTATCTAAAATTCAGCTTTATACGATATATTTCTAGACGGTTTGTAATGGTTTAAAACAATACCAAGTTACGGAAATGGAGTGATACTCCAATGACTATGGATTGGTCGTTCCTTGCCTGTCAAATGACATCTAAGAAGATCACAATCGACAATCTATATTTAAAATTAATAGTAACACACATATTCTAAAGTATATTTCCTCAGGTAAACGACTTTTTCAAAGCCGAGAGTGCGGCAATAGACAACTATGAAGATGAGATGGCGCAGTATCTTGATCTGAACGACGTCGTTATAACGAAAAAGAAAACCTCTGTAGATGAATCTGAACCATCTATACCAATCTCGACGCAACCTGTAAAGAAAAAGGACAAACGCCCCAAAATCGTCATATCAGACGATGATGAGTTTGAAAGTAAAACTACCAAAAAGCAGAGCAAGCTAAATTTTGGGTCCAAGCCTAGAGAGTCCCTCTTTTCTTGTCTGACAAGCGATAAGAGTCAGAAGAGTGTATTACAAATACAGGATCCTGTAGCGAAGTTTTGTGATACGGAGGATATATTGCAGGAAGACTCAGTAGAGAATTCTCGATCCAATTCCCCAAAAAAAGAGCAGGTGGAAGCATATATACCAGATATACCAGACATACCAGATATACCAGACGTGGTTGACGTCCAGCATGATGTCTCCTTTGAGGATGTCATCTCTCAAAGAAATTGTGATTTTCCTGCAAACGAAAACTGCGATGAAGAAGCTTGTTTGAATGATGATGAGGAACTTGAATCAGATGAAATAGTCCAAAGCCCTAGATACCTTACTCAAGCAGATGACCTTAAGGACCTGAATGAAAATGAACTCTCGGTCAGCCTATTCGAAGCCATTAACGAAACCTGGGACTTTGAGTTGTCTCAAAAAGGCCCGGACTTGATCGAGGTTCCCGCTCCTCCATCACAGGTTCCTTCTCTTGAACTATCAGATTTTAGTTTGTTCAGCTCACAGCAACACGCTACTATAAATCCAGCTCCAACTTCCTCAGAAAATGACTCGGTATTGGAAAGATCTAAAGTTCCGTTGTGTCCGAAACCTGGGGTTTCAGAACTATCTTCTGATTCTGACAAGTTCTCGGATGATATCGAGGACACACTGATTGAAAACAGTTGTTCCAAACTGAATCCTCAGAACAATGCACTTTTTGAATCTCTAGCTAAAATGGAAAAGCAACAAAGTGTAGCCGACGACGACCTGGACCTCATGGACGAGACTCCAGATATAACCTTTTCAGACGTTCTCACGCCACCAGATAGACCGGGAGCAGACGAAGCGAACGTATTGAGGGACGATGAAAAACTTGATGTGCAGTCCCCGTGTGTGGGTGTGGCAACTCCAGCTCACAATAGACCATTTCAACCACTAGAATCTTCAACTCCAGCTTTGGTCAAACCGTCTGCTCCGTTATGTGAACCGAGAACAGGACACAAAGGGTTTGTAACTCCTCAGATCAAGCATTGTTTAATGAGAGTTAAAAAGAAACCAGACTTACTGGACAAGAATTCATTACCCCAAGACTCTCCAATGCCATCTACAAACAACACAACGAACGAGGACTCTCCTTTAAATGTTGGTAAGAGGAAGAGACGATGCAACATTCTGTGCACTCAGATTCCAACCAATTCAGAAGATTTTGACATTTCTAACGACAAAAAGAAAAGCAGGTTGTTCTCGCCCGATAAGCCTCTTATTGTTCAAAGAAATTCAGAAAAAGAAAATAAATCCAAGCCCAACCAATTCAAGACCAAGGGTGGTGCAGCTGCGAACCCATTCATCATCACTGAAGCTAATCTCTCTGGTGATGATGATTCTGATGAAGGATCTGATGAGGACTTAATGAGTAGTTCTCTGGAAGATTTTATTGATGAAGAAGAGCAACCAACAGGTATGCGGTACAACTCTAAAGTATAATTCTATAAAGTTGAATTGCTAATTTAGTGTCTCATTTCACTTAACGAGTCTATTCAAGATAAAAAAGGAATATACTAATATTTACTTTAAATACTAGGCATACAGATTAATCGTTTTGGGTTACGACTACGTTTGTCTATAGTACCTGTCATTACTTAATTTCAGTCAGTGAATCGCTGTATTTACGAGATATAGCACAATTTAAACCACAAACCGTCAGAACGGTTGGGAACAAGTTCACAGGAAATGTCTTCTCTCAAGATCCCAGGTATTCGAAATTCGACATGCTATTTTGAGTCAGAAAGGAGCCATCTCAAAGAATTGATCCATATCACAGCTGCAGAATTGTGATATGTGAATTGTCTCGTTTCAGTGTCAAGACTTTCTCCTAAACCATTAACTCTTCCAGATTAGATTGCCAGGGTCATGAGGTGGACGATGAGTTGGACGGCTTCGTTTGTGATGATGAGGAGTACAGTTTGTTGGACGATGATTTCGAGGAGACAGCAGTATTCACCCAGCAGTTACAAGTTAGCTTGGAAACTTTATAATGTTTTTATCTTGATTTTTAAAATATGCTGCTAATGTTACAAGTGTAGAAGTATTGTATGTATAATGTATAATGTATAATGTATAATGTATAATGTATATTGCATTATCAGATTAATAACATTCTTTATTAGAATTTTATTGAAACTGGATAACAAAAATTTGTATTTTTCCAAAAAAAAAGTACCGTGACCACTGAATTATTTTTCAGCATCGGACGCCAACTCCTGCTACAAATAAAAAACGGAAGCGAAGAGTAAAGGAATTCGCAGAATCGCCTGTAACTCCAGTGGCTATTACCAGAAATCCCTCTGTAACAGTAACACCCAAAGGAGTCAGCCCTCTCAGCCGGAAGGTCAGCAGTTCCTCTTGGATGGCGAGAACTCCAAAACGTTCAGATTTCCCAGATTTTACCGGGAAGAAGGAAGAAGAGGAAAACAAATCCGCTCGTTCTAAAATAGCGGGAACCAGTGATAGCCCGAACATTTCCTCATTTTTAATAGGATTGGATGATTTGTTGTCTGATAATGATGATAAACCCGACTCTAATGTAGCCGGTGCAGGTTGGTCGGTGTTACTTTAGGATTTTTAAAGTTTAATCGTTAAAAAACACATATTGCTGTCAGGAGTCAGGACTGGCAGATCAAGTAGATCTTGAGATTATAAAAACTTAAAGTTTACAATAAGGCAGTGGTCAGTAAAGCTGCACTGGTTGTTTTTATCCTATAATTAACCGTTTCACTTAAACGATTTCTCCTACTGTACGGTAAACATTTCACCCTATGATATCGTTTTGATCGGCTTTCACGTTCTCAGATGATGATGACGAAGACTTCGAGATATCAACTTATACCAATCGGTCTAAGTCCACCAAGAACAAAACAAAGTCCATCAGCAAAAACAAAACTATCAGAAAGTCAAAAGACCGTTCAGTTAATGCAGGGAAAGTAAAGCAGGAAGACACTACTTTCGACCTGTTTGGAGATTCGTTTGATGAGAGTATGATAGACGCAGCATGTAAAACAATCAATCAAAATACTGCAAAAACATCTGTAAGCAAGCAAACAAACTCCTCTGACCAAAAGATAGCATCTCAGTTTAATATTGATATGGATGACTTGCTATCAGAGGAGGAGTTAGATCAAACAAAACCTGTGCCTGAATCATTTTGTTCTAAACCTAAACTTGGAGATAAGATTGTCAGAGCTGCTAAATCGTGGGGCCCTCCTGATACCACCAAAATGACTGCTTCTCAGTTTAATATTGATCTTGATGATTTGTTATCAGAAGAGGAATCAGATCAAATAAAACCTGTACTTGAACCATCTATTTCTAAACATAAACTTAAAGTTAATAATTCCAAGACGGCGGCACCTCCTGATAGCACCAAAATGACTTCTTCTCAATTTAGTATTAACGTAGATGACCTCCTGAGCCCTGGACCTCCCCTTAAAGTAACCAGTACTTCTGTTCCCCCTCTTGATGGAGGAATTTCTTCTAACAACATTGCGATTTCAAACCTGCGGTTAGATTCAGAACCAATACCAACGACTTTCAAAAACTGCTTAGTGTTCGCGAGAACAAAGGTATGATATCATTTTACCTTTATAGATATTTTGTTTCTTTATCTACTTTCTTCAAATTTCTTTTCAAAGCGAAGTATCCATGACCCTTTTACCAATTGACAAATATGTATCCCTGTTACAGGTCATATCCAATAATCAAATATGTACGATACTACGTACACGGTTCCAGATAAAAGTGGAGATAAGAACGGACCTTGGTAACTGTGACTACGTGGTCAATTCCAACACTGCAATTCTCCGGATCAACCTGCTTGGTAGGTAGAACTTTGACTTTTGAGTACCTCAATCGTGTCTTGTGCCATCCTCAGTGACCCTGTAAGATGGTCATTCAAGAAGAATTGAGTGAAAACAGTGAAATTTGGGTCGCGGAAAGCTGAAATTCGAATATGTCCTACCAGTAGGACATATATTCAAATTTTTTACTGCATCAAAGTTTTCTCCAGATATACTGCTTCCAGTACCTTGATGGCGACTTGTGTCACTCTCACCGACCTCACTGATTGGTCACTGGTCAAAATTTCAGTCAAAACCGCGAAATTTGGGTCGGGGAAAGGGCACAAAAGCTATTATTTAATAATCTTGTCAAAAAAGTCTTCTTCTTTTCTAACAATTTTCCGTTACCAAAGCTTCCTTTTGTTATCTTGCTTTCAATACCTCAACTGTGTCTTTTGCCATTGAAAAAAAATTCAGTCAAAACAGTGAAAAGCTCTTTTACCACTTCGCCAAGAAGACAGCATTAAATTTACTCTGTTATTTGCAGACGTGTACAAAGGAGTGTCAGATCTGGTAGCCCGCGTACAGACTCTACACAGATCCTTCAAACACATAGTTCTCATAAGTGAGATGCCCCAAATACCTCCCGGTAAAACGAAAAAGGTACCTATATTATTTAAAATCCTGATTACAAGAAGATTCGTTTTCCCTTAAAATTCAATCTGAGGTGCTTTGTTATTTGTAGCTTTGACGCGATCGAGTTAAGTTTGTACCTCAAAGTTTTTTTTAATCTCACGAACCAGGCCCGACATATTAAAGAGATTTTGTGAACTGCTTAGTTTTTTTTTTCAGTTTCCCATGTCATACTTTATAATTAACAATTTACAGATGTTAGGTCGGGGAGAGGCTTACGATGCGGTGAGATTTGCTGTGACAGAACAGAAACTGAAAAACTTCAACACTTCTCTTCTTCTTTCGGAGAATCAGGGTTAGTTTTTAGTCAGCGGGAATGTTTGATTAATTCTTTTATTTCAGTTGTTTGTTTTAATTCTTCCTGTTTTGAATATTTTTTTGTAATTCTACTACTACTCGTCAATTGATCTCGAACAGATTTTTTCGTCGACAGTTTTTGTTGCAGGCACAAATTAAATTTACATTGTATTCCTCTTTAAAGTTTCAAATTTACATTTGGCAAAAAAAGGATCAATGAAATAATTCACATTTCTTTATATAAGTCAAGAAAAACGGAACCTTAAAAATTTTCTAGAAAATAAATTTCGTATATTAGAAACATAATTATCGAGCAAAAAATTGTCTCATCTCGTCAAAATTGTCTAGCCATAATGCAGCATGCATCTTAATTTCCCTGCTTCTCAAAAGTGACTAGTCTCCATGGTGATTTGTCTCCAGGATGACATGTCTTCTTCAAGACGTGTCTCCATGGTAGCTTGTCTCCATTTCTCGATACAGGGCGTCTATCTTTCTGTTTATGCGTCAGCACAGGTGCAGCAAGGGCAGCACTTGGTTCCTGAGGCATGATGACGTCATTGATAGAATTTATTTAAACCCCTGAACTGGATCCCAGCGAATCAGTTAAATCGTTTGTGTAATCAGAAATGAAATGGAAAAAATTCCATAAAAACGATTAACGGGACTGAATAGTTTTCAGGAGAATTTAAGGACATATCTCACCACATTTGCAGCCCTCATCACAGCTACAGCAGGTTTCACAGCCGGTCAGACAAGTTTCTCCGCATTTACAAGGCATTGTTAGAGATTTCGAGTTAGCTATAGGGGTACGGAATTGGTTTAACACTCAATTTGATAAAATCCAAGAAGCTTTTAAATAATGTTAAACTACTTTCGAGGGTTGATCACCGTCAAGTAAAATTACTCATCGTCAAAGACTATACTCCACCTTCCTTTGAATGGAAAATCACAATGCTGGCAAGCATGACCGTGCCTCTTATATTCACAATACTATTTACCCCCTTTACTATCTACCCCCTTTACTATTTACCCCCTTTACTATCTACCCCCTTTACTATTTACCCCCTTTACTTTTATACCCCTTAACTGTTTTTCAGGCATTAAGACTCATCGAAAGTAGTTCAGCAGGCATATTTAAGTTCAAATCATTCTAATTCAATGTTAAAGATGACAGGAATAAGAAATAGTTATGTGGAGGTTTTTAAGAAATTTGCGCAAAATACGGGCCAGCATGTTATACGAAATTCGGTAAAAAACCCAAAATCGCCATATTCAGGTGCCTTAAAAACCATGTTAAAAATGAGTTAGAGATCTGAAACTTTGCAGGGCGTCTAGACGTTGACCAAATGACTGTAAAAACAATTCGTGTTTCAGGAGTATCGCGAAGTGGGTTTTCTGGAACCCCTGTTTTACAACAAATTGTCGTGATACATATATAAATATTCAGGGATAGACGCTTTGCCAGTCAAATGTAGTCAATTATAGACTGGATTTAAGTGTCCGTAGATTCAAAAGTATACAAGATACAGCCATTTCCGACCACAGGTCTTAAAGATAATTGTTTGCACAGTAGTTTACATTATATGCAAAAAATATTTGACGTCATTATTACCCTTTGATGACGTCATCAATTTAAGCTTTTCTAAAACTTGATTTTTGACAAAATAACAACTTTTCAAGTAGATTTAACAGCATAAAGGAGTTATTTTATTCAAAATTTGAGGTTATATTGAAGTTAGATAATTGTTTAAGCATTCTGAAAATCTACCGGAAAGTTTGCCTAGCTTGCTCCTTCAGGAAGATATTCGTCATTAAAGTTAGTGGGGGGGGGGGGGGGCCAATGGCATAAATGGAGAAAATGGAGAATTACTCATAGGTTTTTCCATTTTATCCATAGAAATTGCCTCCATGTCGTGCCATTTTATGCCATTTTATGCCATTGAAAACCTAAAAAATTTAGAATTTCGAGAAAATTATTAAAAAAAAAGATATTGTCGGCCAATAATGAACAGGGCAGCATGAAACATGGAGAAAAGTGGTTTTCAGAAAAACTTTGAAAAATGTTGACTTAGAAAATTTTCGGTCCGAGTCATTTTCGATACGTACCTCCCGTATCGAGAGCTCCCGATTCCGAGCTCGTGTTGCAAAGGGGAAGATGAAGCTATCAGTTTATATTTCGACTTCATAAAGTACCTACCTATTGAACCTATTGATGGGTTTAGAAGTAGGCATCTTCACGGCCATCACGCAATCTGCGGACCACCTCCTTGACTGCACCAGTCTATTATTGAGTTAGAGTTTTCTGCACTGTATCCAGGAGTAGGGGGCTTGTCTGGAAGGGTGTCTAGGAAGTTTCCAAGAGATGTCTTGAAGCTTGTCAAAGTCCTTTGAGTATTGACAATTTTGGGGAGAACATTCCAGAGTCTTCCAGCTCTCACTGCGAATGAGTGGTCGTAGGTGCAGTGGAGCGTGCAGCAGCTGTACCCTGACATTATAATCAAAAAGAGATGATATTTGACCAAAACCCATAATCATGGGTAGAGTGGACCGCTGCCAGTGTCTCTCTTTCGGCTTTCCCAAACAAAAGGAAATGATATTAAATTGATTGACCGTCTGCAAATGCAAAATGATACCGAGAATGAAATCGGTCGCTCGCTTTTCGTGAATGAATGGGAAAAGCGACCGACCGATTTCATTTTCGGTATCATTTTGCATTTGCAGACAGTCAATCAATTTAATATCATTTCCTTTTGTTTGCGAAAGAGAGACACTGGCAGCGGTCCACTCTACCCATGATTATGGGTTTTAGTCAAATTGCTTATATTATTACGTATTGAAATCGGACATTTAAGAATTGCTTGCAGTTGCATTGAAAAATAACCGAATTAATAATTATAAACGGTTTGTTGATCTTTAGTTGTGGCAATGACAAATCCTCGAGAACACGTAACACTGCACTGAACTGGAGAACTGAGAAGTGAACTAAATAATTTAATGTGGGTAGTTACTAGTTTTCCTTTCAAAATAATCCACGTGATTGTTAAATTAGATCCATAATCCAAGTACGCGAACTGACTAGACATTCACGGAAATTGATGAACGCGCTATTGAAAAATCGACCTGTCATGCTCCTTTACTCCAGGAAGTCTATGAGAATTTGGAAAATCTGTCAATAATAGAGGAGCCTGCGGTTCACATACCAAATACCAATTGCCAGTAATTGTACAGAGGACCACCTCTTATAAGTATAATCCTCCAATCAGAGAATGCAATTCATCATACCAACCATACCTCAACAACTACAACAAAACAGCAACATTTAGCCAGAGAATTCGAGAGAGATCTACTCAAAGTGAAATTTATTGCGCTGGAGACCATCATAAGACTTGGCCGCTCCCCCGGTCACGTGAAATGACACGTGATGGTGCTCTAATGACCGTTTTAGCAGTATTAAATCTGTTCTGACGGAAACTTTAGTGGGGTGAGGAACTTTAGGTAGTGAAGTGTATTGAAATGTTTTGCCCAGTTGAGAACTATCATGTATCCGACTGTTCATGATGATCAAGTTTACTCGAACGGTTCAAGACAATGTGGCTGGCCCTGCCGAAATCTTTGCCAAAAATTAAGCGATATGCAACTTTCAATCCAATTTTAAAGCTTTTTTAAAGCTTTCGGAATAAAATTACTTTTAAAAATCGTCAAGATGGCAAAAACGAGCTCTTTTAAGTAGCCTTGCAGGACATATTTCTATGGACCGATCAAATATATATAGAGCCGTCAGGTGAAGATGACGTTTTATGGATCGAGTCCAAAAAATATATGGCTGCAAACTAATCCATCAACCTCAGTAGCCTATTTCCGGGATATGGATCTCGGTATGTTAATCTGATCTGTAGAGTACAAAAGACTTTTTTGATCTTATTACGAAGCTACAGGGAGAAAAGCAACGTTTATTTTTGATGTTTTCCATAGTTTGATTCGATTTTGCACCAGATTTGTTCCTAAAAGCTTATTTTATATAAAAAAATTGTTGCCAGTATAGATTTTAATTCTGAAACCAATTATCCAGAAAAACTTCTGAAGTTCTACAGGTTACATCCCATTCTTTAACTTTAAGCCACACTCGATTCTCAAGGACTCGTGGCAGGACATTCTTCTCCCCCTGTCATCAACTTTTCGGGAATTGATTTGATTGATGTCCTTGACCTTGCACTATTAAAACGGAGGTTGAGTAATGAGTAAATAGTTTTACAGATGGGTGAGGTTGGCATTCGGCCAGCTAGGCTCGAAATTTCTGGGGGTATAGCGAAAAGCGTGGACGAGAGCAATATTCAGGCAGCGCGTTTGTGTAATTTTAATATTGGCTAACAGTAACAATACAAGTTCCTTGTTTATTTGTGGAATGCAGTAAATAATCGATGATTATTCCAGATGAAACAGCGGGAATAATATCAAGATTTATACGGACGGAGGATTCCCAAATAATCCCAGACTCGCCGCTCACTGAGAAACAGATGGCATTGGAAAAGTTCCTGTCCACAATCCCCTGCATGAACCACGGAAACGCCAGACTTATGACCCTCAAATATTCTTCTCTTTCTTTAATTTTGTCCAGGTAAGGACTAAGGTGGCATCTGAAATGGCTAAAATCTAAATAAAAGGTTGCTAAATTATTAAATTGAAGATTTAAGAGGGAAAAGATTTTAGTACATTTTCGTTCAATACCCCGTTTATTATTATAGCATTTAACTCGTATGAGATATCATTAAACTTATTGTCCTAATCCCATGAAGGCTCCCGAAAGCTATTATTCTCAAGACATGATAAAAATGTATCGTTTATCTTTTATACTCAGGGTGTTTCAAAAGTCTTGCGAGGATGTTCTTTTTGGATAACTTTTAAATAAAAAGTTATCCAAAAAGTTGTAATTCATTTTTCTGAATTGAACGAACTTTCAGTTTATCCCGTGGCTTCTGCATAGGATTATTTCGATCTTTGTCACCAACCATCACAAAAGAATTTTTCACTCAAAACAAAAAAATGTAAACCACCAAATGAAACATAAAACATTGTTGTAAGAGGATATGACTAACATAGTGACATAGTGACATTGCTTCTTTATAAACACAGCTTTTAAATACAAAATCTAACAAGTAAATTGACGATGATATAAAGTCGAAATTGTGAAACAGTACCTGAAGTCCTGAAGGATTTGTAAGGTAAATCACGCAAATTCATCTCGGTTGTTATTAGGGGACTGATTGCGGTTGCTATGGTGGTTATGGTAACGGAAAATCTTGAAAAGTCACCATTAAACCTTAGAACTACCAATAACATTTTACAGAATAAAGTTTAGACAAATTTTGCTATTGTTCAATTATTATTATACAAACATTTTACTGTTTTAGCCCAATGTCATATCCCCACTTCAACCAGCATTCCTTTTCAGCAAAGCTGAGGACATCAGTAAACACAGCGGTATGAGTCGGCTGAACACGGCGCTGTTCATCAAATACTGTAAAACAAACGTCAGAGACCAGGTAAACCACGTGACCTCGTGACCAGATCAACCACGTGACCTCGTGACCAGATCAACCACGTGACCAGATCAACCACGTGACTTAAACGGAACACCTTCAGACAATCTCAGACTTCAATTTCGGTCAGTGTATTTTGCACTCAGTGGACTCAATTTTGTCCTGCAGATCTTTCAGTTCGCCGAACATAGTTCAAAAATAACAGCAGATGGAACAGGATTCAACAAAGGACATACATTTTTTAACATTTCGTAAATATTTTGAAATTCTGCAGAAATGGAGATTTTTATTGAGATTATTATTATATACTCCAAAGTCGTTTGTACATTTATTTCGAATTAATCACCACAGCTATATAGTTGTGTTGCTCTTGTTACCCAGTTACAAATTACAATTCAAGTTTAAGTTTCAATAACAGACCATAATTTTAAAAATCATGGCCAGCTAACAAGCAAATCAAAATATCACGTGACATATGTACGACGTACGTACTTCGAAATGCTTCAGAAACTCAATACTTCAAGTTCGATATAAAGAATCGCGGTTTAACTATCTGAAATACATTACTGATGTGCCAGAGACGCCAGGAGCTATTTTGTTTTTGATCTTCTATTCCTGGCGTTCATTTCCCATTACTTCATTTTACACTGGACACTATTTTAGCCAAAAAATGCAGCCAATTAATAGGCATAATCATAATGGCTAGAGAATGATCAGTTGTACATCTTCAGGGCTAAACGTGTAGCCGAGCTGTTAGGAATTAACATCGTCAAGCAAGAGCTTTTAAATCCGATAATACGATCAGGACCCTTTCAAAGTATGAATCAATATGATTTGTTGCACAGCAATATCAATTATACTCTTTTTCTCTTAGGAATTCGAACGGATCACAATTATGGATAAGTCATTGTCGTTGCCTACTGGTTTTTCATTACTTATGATGACCAAGAAAAATGCTATTTTTCTATGTACTCAAATCGTAGTCAAGATGCAGATGTCAACATTCATATTCATTCAGGTCACGTTCAAAATTCTAAGCTTAATTTTTCTGGCTTTCAATATAGCAGTTCTACATAATCTAACAGATATTTAAATATAGTTAATTGTAGTTGAGTAATTTGGGCTGCACCTCTATCAGTCGATTAATCTTAAGGATCTGGATACTTGTGAGGAGGTAAACCACATGATTCTGACACATGACAGCGATCGACCAATCAGCTTTCAGCATTAACCGATCAAAACCCATAATCACTACCACGTGACAAAACTAATAAAGTTCACGTCCCTACCAATATCCAGATCTATTGACTGTTCACATCCCATCTCTAACAAAATTTTTGCGATCATCTGCATCAAGATTTGGTGATTTTCTTCTCAAGAACGAATCACTCAAGAGGAGTCAAAACCAATATGATATGCAATGTGAGTTCCTTTAGTGTTTGTTATTGGCTTGGTCATCCTTGAGCTTGCCATAGCTGTTCTGAGTTTTTATGTACTTGATTCGTTGAGACCTGAGGGGAATAAAATATTCAGCATTTTATAGTCAACACTATAGTCGGGGGGGGGGGGGGGGGGGCTCATGTTTTGTGTCTGTTTTTGTCCGTTCGGCATCCTATATTTTTGAAGCGGACAAAAATTAGGGCGGACAAAAACGGACATAAAATGTTATGGGATTTGGAAATAACATTTAGATGCTTCCTCCTCGTCCTCCTCCTCCTCGTCCTCGTCCTCGTCCTCGTCCTCGTCCTCCTCATCCTCCTCCTTCTCCTCCTGCTCCTTTTCCTCCTCATCCTAATCCTCAGTCCTCCTCCTCAGTCCTCAATCCTCCTCATCCTCAATCCTCCTCATCCTCAGTTCTCCTCCTCCTCTTCATCCTCCTCCTATTCATCCTCCTCCACCTCCTCTTCATCCTCCTCCTCTTCATCCCCCTCCACCTCCTCCTCAGTCCTCCTCCTCAGTTCTCCTCCTCCTCCTCATCCTCCTCCTCCTCCTCCTCCTCCTCCTCATCCTCCTCCTTCTCCTCCTGCTCCTCCAGCTCCTCCTCATCCTAATCCTCAGTCCTCAATCCTCCTCATCCTCAATCCTCCTCATCCTCAGTTCTCCTCCTCCTCTTCATCCTCCTCCTCCTCCTCTTCATCCTCCTCCTCCTCCTCTTCATCCTCCTCATCCTCCTCAGTCCTCCTCCTCAGTTCTCATCCTCCTCCTCCTCATCCTCATCCTCCTCCTCCTCCTCCTCCTCCTCCTCCTCATCAGTTCTCCTCCTCCTCCTCCTCCTCCTCCTCCTCCTCCTCCTTCTCCTCCTCCTCCTCCTCCTAAACTTCCTGGGATAGTTGGAGATGTAGTCTGTGTGTAAAACTAAACATGGCTTGTAATTTGTGATATGTTTTTTACTTCTCGTTAATCGATTTCGAACAGATTTATACGTCGACAGTTTCTGTCGGAGGCACAAAATTCACATTTCTTCATAAGTCAATAAAACCGAATAGAACCTTTAAGATTTTCTAGAAATAAATAGTGCATATATATTAAATTTAAACATAATTATCGAGCAAAAAATTGTCTCATCTCGTCAAAATGACATGTATTCTTCAAGACGTGTCTCTATGGTAGCTTGTCTCCATCCAGGGCGTCTATCTTTCTGTTTATGCGCCAGCACAGGTGCAACAAGGGCCAAGGCAGCACCTGGTTCCTGAGGAGTGATGACGTCATTGATAGAATTTATTTTTATCTTAAACCCCTGAACTGGATCCCAGCGAATCAGTTAAATTGTTTGTGTAATCGGAAATGAAATGGAAAAATTCCATAAAACCGATTTAAACGAGACTGAATAATTTTCGAGAGAGTTTAAGGAACATTTCAGGAGAATTTGAGGACATATCTCACCACATTTGCAGCCCTCAGCACAGCTACAGCAGGTTTCACATCCGGTTTGACATCCGGTATCACATCCGATATCACATCCGGTCGGACAAGTATCATCGCATTTGCAAGCCATTGTTAGAGATTTCGAGCTAGCTATTAATATTATAGGGGTAAGGAATTATGGTTTAACAATCGATTTGATGAAATCCAAGAAGCTTAAATAACGCTGAACTATAACTACTACTACTAGTTGAGGGTCAATGGAAAATTTTTTGTTATATTATATTGAAAAATAACCGAATAAATAATTATATATAAACAGTTTGTTGATCTTGAGTTGTGGCAATGACAAATCCTCGAGACCGCGTAACACTTAACTGGAGAAGTGAACTAAATATTTAATGTGGGTAGTTACTAGTTACTAGTTTTCCTTTCCAAATAATCCACGTGATTGTTAAATTATATCCGTAATCCACGAACGCGAACTGGCTAGACTGGCTTTAACTTTAAGGAAATCGATGAACGTGTTAACGGGTGATACTCGTAAAATATTTGTTCCGAATAATTATATTTGCCAGCGGTTCACATTTAATACCAAATACAAATTGCCAGTAATTATTCAGAGGACCACCTCTTGTAAGTTATAAGTATAATCCTCCAACCAGAGAATGCAATTCATCATACCAACCATACCTCAACAACTACAACAAAACAGCAACATTTAACCAGAGAAGTCGAGAGAGATCTACTCAAAGTGAAATTTATCTACTCAAAGTGAGATTTATAAGACTTGGCCGCTCCCCCGGTCACGTGAAATGACACGTGATGGTGCTCCAATGACCGTTTTACTGACATACGTTGCATGAAAAAACTTTACTGGGCGGCGCTCAGCCTGTCATTCCGCCGAATCTTTTTGTTTATGAGCATAATAGCCTGTGGTCCCCAGGTAAGAAAAAACTGATGTTTGTGACACACAACATGTATCAACCGCTTTATCATGTATCCGACTGTTCATGACGATCAAGTTTATTCGAACGGTTCAAGACAATGTGGCTGGCCCTGCCGAAATCTGTGCCAAAATTAAACAATACGCAATTCAAAATCGTCAAGATGGGAAAAACGAGCTTTGTAAGTTGCCTTGCATGACAAATTTCTAATGGCAGCTGATAATTTTCTTTATATAGCGTGCAAAACGCACTTTATAGTGACAGGACTATATAGCGACAAGTTTTTTTATATCGAATTTTCTTTACTTTTCACTCCACTACTCTACTTTTCTTTAATTCTACATTCAATAACCATGTCTAGTCATTGACTACTGATTACTAATTCTTTAACTCCACCTTCTCTAAGTTAATATTACTTTACTGACCTTGTTTTATTTTATAATTTAAATTATAAGATAAAATGAATTATCTGTAAATTCGGACCATAATTCTCTCTTAACTTTTAGAAATAGAATAGCTACCAAATAAAAGGTTGCTAAATTATTAAATTAATGAAGAATAAGAGGGAAAATATTTTAATAGATTCTCGTTCAATAATTACCTCGTTTATTATCATAGTTTTTAACTCGTATGACATATCATTGAATTTATTGTCCTAATTCCATGAGTGCTCCCGAAAGCTATTATTCTCAAGACATGATAAAAATGTATCGTTTATCCTTTATACTATTAGTATTACTTATATACCTATAGTTAAACACAGGGTGTTTCAAAAGTCTTGCGAGGATGTTCTTTTTGGATAACTTTTAATCCATTTTTCTGAAAAAAATGGATTAAAAATTTGTATCCAAAATAATTCCGATCCCGAGGATTGTTACTGGGCCGCGCTCAGCCTGTCATTCCGCCAAATCTTTATTCGCCAAATCTTAATGTTTATGAACATGTACATAATAGCCTGGGTCCCCAGGTTTACTGGGCCGCGCTCAGCCTGTCATTCCGCCAAATCTATATGTTAATGAACATAATAGCCTGGGGTCCTCAGGTAACCCCAGGTAAGAGGATTGACATAACTTATAAATTTATAATATATTAATTCTAAATACTGAATGCATCGCATTTTAAGGGTTTTGGTATTTTCGTAGCTAAATTGCACTAAAGCTTTCGCGCTTGCACTTCACACTTGCGCGTAGTTCGTAAACTGAAAACTCGTGGGTACGATATATGTGATTACTGAATAATAAATTCGGCTAAACTCTCATTACATTCTTTTAATAACTTGCTGTGCGAGATTTCAATACTATTACTATTAATTTGCAAATGCTAATTTAACATTTAGATCTTTACATCATCTTCTTTCACATAGCCATGTGTCTAAGCGTACTACTAGCGAGAGGGCTATGGTTAGAGCATAAACAGGTTATACTGGACGAATCTCACTCGTTAACGGGTGATACTCGTAATTTACTATCACGCGCCGCTTTTTCTCAAAATATTAGTCTAAGCCTATACCAGCCGGCAAAGTTTTTATATGTAACCTACATACAACGTTAAAATTTAGTTGAGTTTTGAACGTTGCTTATAGT